AAGGTGTCACCCTCCAGGGTGGGGCCTTCCCCCTTTTGCGGCAGCCCTGAGATGTGGGTGATCTTCAGAATAGGCCAGGCAGAACACGTGAAGGGCAGTGAAAGACTGTGGAGCCGAGGTCGCCATGATTGCACACCGCTGAAAACGGGTGATGCACTTAGAGCAAAGGCTGGGGGAGGCAAAGTCAAGGAAGTGACAGCGAGGCCTCACTGGTGGTGTGCGCACAGGCTTGGAATGGCAGGGCTCGTTTGACTTCTCCTGCTCACTTTAGAAAAGAGGAAGGTCAACGCCCAGAGAACACAGGTCATGTACCGGAGGCCCCATGGCAGGCTTGTTTTTCGTCTACAGATTTGCATAACCTCCATCCTACCCAAGTCCCACCACATACATTCAATCCATTGATTACTTGAAAGAGCATTTGTTTGACAACCTAAATACAACGTTAACCAAAAAGGTTATGCTCTCCTCCTTCAGGAGCTTAGGTTGGTGGGAGAACCAGATACAAATACGCATAAATACTTATAGATTGACACAGGGCTGCAGAGAAGAGGTGGCACAGATAATAATGGGAGGAGGGGGCCTACTTTAGGGGGACAGGGACAGCCTCTGAGGTCTGAGGGAAGGGCAGCAAGCCCCTCTTCCCCCACAGGGCAGGAAGGAAGACTGTGACAGTGTGGGCTTCCAAGAGAATGACAGGCCATCTGCATCCAGCCCTATGTGAGCCAAGTCCCCCAGGTCTCAGGGTGGGAAATTCACCTGCTTGGGGCTGAGACTCAGTGTGATGAGATCCGAGAGTGGCCGGAGGTCAGTACGGAGCCTGGGAGGAGCCCCAGGTGCAGAGCAAACCAGCGAGCCCACACTGGGTTCCAAAGTGACAGGACCTGGGCACATCGCTGAGCCTCGCCAGTTTGCTTACCTGGTGCTACCTGGCCAGTCTGTTCCAAGGGCACCATGAGATCGTTTGTGAAAGCAGTGTCTGACACCTCTGGGTCACCTTCCCTCTCCTGACACACACGGTCAAACCCTCCTAGGCTCCAGTGCCCTTCGGCCTGTTCTCTGTCCCTTGTAAAGGGTGGCACCCACTGACCCCATCCCACGTGTGGCCAAAGCAGCTGACCTCAGTGGGAACAGTCCACATCCCAAAGCTAGTGAAGTAGAACTGTGCGCAACAATCAGGATGCTCCACGTGCTATGAACTATCCACACTGTGCACATAACCCAAATCCTCGGCAGTAAAACTGCTCTATGATGTTATAATGTCATGATAGATCTGTCCAAACCCACACAACGTACACCACCAAAAGCGAACCCTGATGTAAACCGTGGACTTTGGGTGATGATGACGTATCAGTACAGGTTTATCAGTTGGAACAAGTGTCCCGCTCTGGCGGTGTTGATAGTAGGGGAGGCTGCGCATGTGGGGCCAGAGGGTGTATGGGAAATCTCCGTACTTTCCTCTCAGTTTTGCTGAGAACCTAAAACTGTTCTAAAAAATAAGGTATGTTACAAAATAATCCTAGTATTTTGTTTTTTTAAAGATTTCATCTATTTGAGAGAGAGAGAGCACAAGCAGGGGGAGAGGCAGAAGGAGTCTCCCTGCTCAGCAGGGAGCCCGATGCCAGGCTCCATCCCAGGACCCTGGGATCATGACCTGAGCCAAAGGCAGACAGACGCTTAACCGACTGAGCCACCCAGGCACTCCCAATCCTAGTATTTTAAACCATCTGATCTGTAACAGACTTTCATGTCGACCCTCTTCTCTTGTCTCTTGGCAATAACCAAATGGGGCTGGAGAGAAACCCAGCCCTTCCCGCACCCTGGACACTGAAGTTGAGGTGCCCTGCCTTTGCCGTCATCACAGGAAGGACGTGCACGTGGGTCACACCCAGTGCTGGGGAGTCTGGTTCAGCACCACACAGAGGGGATGACTCCAGGCACCACAACCCCCTGCTGCTGGTGGAGGTGGCCCAGCTGGATGGATGCCATGCGTGCCTGGTTTTCTGAAATCTGGTGCCTGAAATACAGTAGTTAGGTGTCATTTCTCACTTTCCTAACTGTGGTAAAATACAAAGTTTACCGTTTTAGTCTTTTTTTTTTTTTTTTTTTTTTAAGATTTGAGAGAGCGCAAGAGAGAGACAGGGAGGGGCAGAAGGACAGGGAGAGAGAAACTCCAGCAGACTCATGCTCAGAACAGAGCCTGACACGGGCCTGATCCCAGGATCCGGAGATCACAACCTGAGCCGAATCCAAAAGTCGGACACCTAACTGACTGAGCCACTCAGATGCCCCCCATTTTAGTCATGTTTAAGCGTACAGTTCAGTGGCATTAATTATATTCACTGTTGTACAGCCCTTACCACCATCCATCTCCAGAACTTTCTCATCTTCCCAAACACCGTTCCTATTAAACACTAACTTCCCATTCCCTTCCCCACCCCACCCACCCCCTGGCCCCCCATAAACGATTCTACTTTGTGTCTATGAGCTTGACTACTCCTAAGTACCTTATCTAAGTAGCTGCCAACATTTTTAAAATGAGACAGCTTTCATAGTGTTATTGATAATAGCCAAAGACTGGAAATAACTCAGATGCCTATCAGGGAATGAATGGAAAACAAATGTGGTCTATCCACAGAATGGAATTTACTCAGCCATAAAAAGGAATAAGAACTGATTCATGCTACAAAAGGAATGAACCTTGAGACATTATATGAAGTGAAACCAGAAGGAACCAGAAGAGGTCACATACTGTATGATTCCATTTATATGAAATGTGCCGAATAGGCAGATCATAGAGGCAGGAAGCAGATTCGTGGTTGCCAGGTCTGGGGGACCTGGGGAAATAGGGAGTAACTGCTAATGGACGTAGGATTTCTCTTTGGGGTGACCAAACTGTTCTAAAATTGTAGTGATGGTTGCACAGCACTGAACTAAAATCCACTAAATTGTACACTTTAAATGGGTGAATTGTAGAATACAGGTTACCTCAAAAATGGAGTAACTACAATCTCCACATAAAAATCTGGATGCCCAGGGTGCCTGGGTGGCTCAGTCGTTAAGTGTCTGCCTTTGGCTCAGGTCATGGTCCCAGGGTCCTGGGATCATGACCCGCATTGGGCTCCTTGCTCAGTGGGGAGCCTACTTCTCCCTCTGCCTCTCCCACTGCCCCTTCCCCTGCTTGTACTCTCTCTCTCTGACAAATAAATCTTTTTTCTAAAGATTTTATTTATTTATTTGACAGAGAGAAACACAGCGAGAAAGGGAACACAAGCAGGGGGAGTGGGAGAGGGAGAAGCAGGCCTCCTGCTGAGCAGGGAGCCCAATGTGGGGCTCGATCCCAGGACCCTGGGATCATGACCCGAGCCGAAGGCAGATGCTTAATGACTGAGCCACCCAGGCGCCCCTAAGTAAAATCTTTAAAGAAAAAAAAAAAGATGGGGCGCATGGCTGGGTCTGTTGGTAGTGTGTGTGACTCTTGATCTTGGGGTTGTGAGCTCAAGCCCCACCATAGGTGTAGAAATTACTTAAAAATAAGATCTTTGGGGGCACCTGGGTGGCTCAGGCAGTTAAGCGTCTGCATTTGGCTCAGGTCATGATCTTCAGGTCCTGGGATTGAGCCCCGCATCAGGCTCCCTGCTCAGCGGGAAATCTGCTTCTCCCTTTGCCCACCCCCCATTTGTATTCGATCACTCCCACTCCCTCTCAAATAAATAAAATCTTTAAACAGTAAAAAAATTTAGAAAATTAAAATAAGATCCAAAAAAAAATAAGAAATACAAAGTACAGGTTTCCCAGCGCTAAAACATACCTCAGCAAGAGTGATAAGTATCCGAATTCAGTGACAGACCCCAGTGCAGCAGAAGGGCAGAGTGAGGGTGGGGCAGTCTCTGGACACCCAGGTAGCCAAGAAGCTTGTGAGACTGGAGGGGATTGTCGTCTTTGAGGAGGGGTTTTCATGACAGAGAAGCAAGCATTCAAGTCCACCCAAACCCAAAGGCCTCAAGAGGAAGAGAATGGCTCAGGTGGGAAACAAATCCAAGCAGAGACCTGCCAGTGGGTTGGAGCCAGACTCCACTGCCCAGGTCAGCCTCATCCACTCGTGCACCTTTCCCTCCCCACCTACTTCTCCACTCCTCTCTGTGCCCACCAGCTCTTTCCAACCTCTTCACCCAGCCCCACAAGGGCTCCCACAGCTCACCTGCTCAGCCCAGAGCCCCGGGATGGGTCTGAGCTCTGTGCTCAGGGCCACTCTGGTTGTGCCGGGCATCGGGGCTTTTGTGAGACAGCCTCAGCTGGGAGCCCCAACTAATTAAACTACAATGAACAAAAATTTTAACACAATAATTAATTAATTAATTAATTAATTAATTAATCACTGTTAATAGAGGGCAAAAAAATCTAGTGAGGGGTGCCTGGGTGGCTCAGTTGGTTAAGCGACTGCCTTCGGCTCAGGTCATGATCCTGGAGTCCCGGGATCGAGTCCCGCATCGGGCTCCCTGCTCAGCGGGGAGTCTGCTTCTCCCTCTGACCCTCTTTGCTCTCGTGCTCTCTATCTCATTCTCTCTCTCAAATAAATAAAATCTTAAAAAAAAAAAATCTAGTGAGGGAGACAGTGACATGCACATCTTCTCATGGGCTCTCTGAATTTCAGAACATTCAATCCAATCAGCACATTGTCCCATGGCAAGCTCCCTGCTCTGGGATCTGGGCTGGGAGGCCAGGGCTTGTCAGAGCACCACCCAGCCACCAGTGTGCATATGCTCCAAGGCCGGTGCAACTCCATGGACAAGGCCAGCTACCTCTCCAGCCGGCCCCAGGAAGGCCAGCAGTGATGTGGGACAGCCCTGTCAGCAGACAGAACACCAGCAACCCCACTGCTAAGCACCCTGTAGAAGGAGGGTTGAAGTCAAATTTCAAAGAAGAAATGACCACAATTTATGCTTTAAGTATCTTTTTGCAGTAATATCTTATTTACATTGATATAGAATCATTTTACATTCTTAGATCAGAGAGTAATAGATACTTTATTTTAGTAAATTATGAAGGAAAACAAAAAGTATTCATAAGTTTTCTCCATTAGCCTGTCTTACCACAGGGGTAGGATCTGGAAACACATGGAGCCCGTACATCCTACAAGCCGATTCTGAGGGACTGTGGTTTGCTCTGGCTGGACGGTGAAACCTTCAACTGCTCAGACTGTGCTTTCCTTTTCTGAACAAACATTTCTACAGAAGATGATGACTCTCAGCATTGAAAAACTTACACACACTTCTGAAAACAGATGTCAACAGTGTGAGTGGTGAGAACTAAGCCCCTGGCAGAGGGGCCAGGGCACTAGGTTAACAGGCTGTTAGCCTGCTGGGCCCAGACTGCAGCCGTGACCACCTGTGGTCCAGCGGAAGGGCAGGAGCCCCACACCTGGCTTAGAACAACAGAACTCAACAGTCGGGGACAAGAGGTCACCCCACACACTGTGGAAGGAAGGACTATCCGTCCTGATAAAGATCACGGCCCACATGGTCAGGAATGGCATCTCCAGGGACGCCCTTGGTATGTGCCTCCCCAGGCCCCAAGGTGCCCATGTTCCAGCTGCTTGGGATCTTTGGGAATTAAAACAAACTCCAGGAAGGAAATAGGACGTCTCTGCTGAAGGATGGATGATGTGGTGGGGCGTGCAGGCCCCAGGTTCCTCAGAAAGACAACCTGGAAGGAAAGACTCATTCCAGAACCTCTCGGAGGTTTGCCGAGAGGGAAATTAATCACTTCATGACTCGGTGCAGCTTAAGGCTTCATTTTTAAGCTGTAAGCATGGCCTTTAATTCTTTAACTAGTATCACCACATTTGATTCCAAATTAGAGTTTTAGCTCTGAAAGATGGTCCAGTTGTTTTATTCCGCCTGAGCCAGAAGAGGCCACGTTACCTACCCATGGACAGGAAAGTTCTACCACCCCTTACGCGTGCCACACCCTACTGCCAGGGGCTGTCCCGTGACCATTCAGTGGAGACGTATGTTGTCACATGATTTTGCTGTTGCCCTCTGCAGGAAGGGGCCCGGTGCTGCTGATTCTGGAATCCTTCTGGTGCCCTGGCCATGAGGAGGGGCTGCTACTCCCGGCCTAGTTTCCAGTGGACCGTTTTCCTGAGCCAAGACACAAATGGTTACGTTTCACCAGCATCCCAGGAGGAAGAACCCTGTGGGTGAGCTTCCGTCATCCCTGGGAGGGGGCTGCACCAGGAGTCCCAGCCACCAGGGACCAGAAGAAGTGAAAAGCAAGTCCCAAGACATCACAGTGAGCAAGCGTGACTCCCGGCAGCCCCCTGAGGTTTACATGGCCCTGCGCCTCCCAGGCAGGATGGGTGCTATGAATCAGACAGGAGGCTGGGGAGATCTGAGTTCTAGGCCTGGCTCTGCTATGACTTGCCCTCTGTGACCGTGGGCAGCCTGGTTTCCCTGGCAGCTGGTGGAAGGAGGGCTGTGAGGTGGCCCCCCCCCCCAGTGCAACCTCTCCAGAAAGTGGGCATGACAGAAGGCCGGCTGGGGCGGTAGGGTTCAGCCCAGCGCTGCTGGCTGAGGCTGCCACCTTGCCCTGATGCAGGCATCTGCACAGACCAGGAGGCCTGGTTCTGAGTAGAGCCAGATACACCACACCTAGATTGGCACCTCTTCCAAGGCTGGGAGTAGGGAGCAGGGGTACGATATTGGTTAAAGTGAGGGAAAGGAGGGATTAGTTCACAGGGATACAAAGGGGAAGAAACCTCAGGGTTTTCCTACCTCGGCTAGGTATCAGGAGGTAAACATTTTCTTAAGTTTGGAAAGGAATCCCTCCTTGTCCTCCCCAGCCTCAGGCCTAGCCTTGCCTCCTGCGGAGCTATCCATGGTCCTGCCACCTGGGCACAAACAGCAGAAAGAACTGGGGTGAAGGGCGCCACCTCCAGGAGTCCCATCCCTGACCCCGCCTACCCACACCTGGCCACCCAGGGGCTGGTCACTCAAGAAACCACCAAGCACCAGCCTGAGAGGGGAGGGGACCATTCCCAGGCTGGTCAGGGCAGCCTCGCCTGTCAGATGACTGAAGCAAAAGGGCCACATTGTGCTTTAGTGTATCACAACTGCTCAAGTCAATGGCCCACAATAGGGAAACAAGACACAGAGAGGGACAATGACCAGCTACCTCTATCATAACAACTGTCACAACTGCCAAGTGCCAGATGCCGTCCAGGCGAGGCCACAGAGATTTCACGGGAGCTCATTTAATTCTTTACAAGTAAATTTCACAGATGAAAAAAAATAAAACACAAAACAAAAATGCACAGAGAGGTTAGGTAGTTTGCCCAAGGTGAGAGAGCTGGTAGGTGGGAGGGAGAACAGAGTTCAAAGCCAAGCAGTCAGGTCCAGAACCCAAGCTCTTAAAAACCTTGCCACTGACTCTTGTAAGGTGAAGAACATGTGCCAAGACTAACCTACCAGCTTCCATGCTCCATACGTGTGCACCTAACGTCTCCGGGACACTCAAGGAGGGGACTCCCTGCCTCGTGGAATCCCACAACACATGTGATTCTTCTAACCTATAACGATGGCAGCAGGGGACCCTGTATGTCACTGGGCAAACTCCCTATCAAGAGCATCTGAGGGGCACCTGGGTGGCTCAGTCGGTGAAGCTGCTGCCTTCAACCTAGGTCATGATCCCAGGATCCTAGGATCAAGCCCTGCATCCGGCTCCTCGCTCAGCAGGGAGCCTGCTTCTCCCTCTCCTCCCCACTCGTGCTCTCTCTCGCTATCTCTCTCTCTCTCTCTCTCTCTCAAATAAATAAATAAAATCTTAAAAAAAAAAAAAAAGCATCTGAGCCAGATGCTCCAGACAAAGGGAAGCTGCTCTGCTATATCTTCAGGGCCCAGGCAGAGGCTACAATCAAGGCCGCCACATAAGCACATCCTTTTCAAGATCTGCCAACCAGCGGGCAGGCAGGGCATACGAATGCCATGAGCTAGACTATGCACCCATACTCAGCATTTTAAACTGTAGGGCACATCACTGATGTGCTAGGACGCATATGCCAAGTACGGTGCGTGGCACAGGAAGAAATGGTCACGGTCCCCAAGGTCTCAGCCAGGGTACCAATCTCCAAGCAGGGGTGGGTAGGACCATCCTGGGTTCAGCCCCCTGGGCAGTCCCGTGCACCTGGCATGCTCTCAGAGCTGAGAGAGAGAGCAGTGGCCCGAAACAAGGATGTGCTAACCAAGGTCAGAGCAATCACCAAAGCCAAGGTGGCCGGGTGATCCCCGACTCCCAGGGGCCCCCCACGGAGGACCTGGGCACTGAGTAATCACCACAGCAGAGGTGCCATTACCACAGATGACAAGGTCATGTGTGCCTTCCCTTAGTCCCTTCTGTCCCCGTTCTTACATAAAGGCTTAAGTAACAAAGACCCTCCTAACACAAAGCAACACACAAACCAGGAATTTCCCATCACTCCTGGGCCTCCTCAGACACAGGACAGCAAGAATACTGAATTTCGTCGTGTTCTTGTTACGGGGATGACAAATCTTTTGTGTGTGTCCATGCATCGCTATGTTAGAGCTGGCAGAGCTTTTAACACGGGCCAAGTACCATGTCAGATGCTTTCCCTACTTAATCTCATTTGATCATATAAGGACCCCATGAAGTACGTGCTATTATCGTTTCCAACTTACAGATGCTACTGCTGAGGCCTGGAGAGGGAAGTGATTTGCCTAAGGCTTTCCAGCTAGTAACAGCAGAGCAGGGCCCCGCATCAGCGGACCTCAGAACCCAAGCTGCTAGCTACCAGTCACGATGGGGCACAGAAACACTCAAGACTGCTGTCACCCTCCTCCTCCAACTCTGCTGTCCTTGTCACCCGGAAGGCTGGAAGCAGTTATGCCCCATGGCGATAGGCATGTGAGCCACAGTGGCCAAAGTCCCCAGAAAAAGCATCTAGTTAACTGGTTAATGATTCACAACAACAAAAAAACAAACAACAAAACAGACACACGTCCAGAAATTCTTACCCCCTACAACCAGGAACACCATCTCATCTATTTTATGTTTTTAAAGATTTTATTTATTTGCTAGAGAGAGAGAGAGCACGCGTGCGCAGCTGCAGAGAGAGAGGGAGAAGCAGACTCCCCGCTGTGCAGGTAGCCCAACATAGGGCTCAATCCCAGGACCCCAAGATCATGACTTGAGCTGAAGGCAGACGTTTACCCGACTAAGCCACCCAGACGCCCCTCATCTCTATTTTAAATTTGGATACAAGGACTACAGTCTCCTTCAGGAGTAAGGTTTACTGGCAGGGACATCAAAGGATATAAACACTGAATTTAAAATTCTGAACCAAGCATCAGGAATAAACTATGTACACAGATGACAAAGTCTATAAACACACTGCTTTTCTAGCCTGGGGCAGGAGGAGGGACGTGTCCTTACAGGATATCCTGGACACTCAGGTGCCTGCTGATCTCAGGACTGGTATACCAACAAGGGCACTTGGCTTCTGAAGCTTCTGTAAATACAGCCAGTATGTGATTTTTGCCTTTAGAAGAGGAAACGCCCATGGTGGAAGCCCCACTCCAGCTGAATGGGCATTACACGAGCATTTCTAGTCTACACCTTCAGAAGGTGACCCCAGCCAGAGGGGCTGCCCAGCCAACACAGACAGAGGTCCAAGGTGAGGACACAGGTCTCCTCTTTCCTGAGAAGGGCTTACACTCCCATCCCTCAGAGCATCTCTCAGCTGATGGTTAGGAAAATGAATTCAAATAAACTCAGCCAACATTTACTATGAGCAGCCTTGCACCAGGTGCTATGCAAGGTGCTGGGGGATTCAAAGAACATGCCAGCTTACTACAGGCAGGGATCCCAAGTCAGAACTGCTTGATGGCTGTTTATATATAAGGTGATACCAGGGGAGAGTAACAGGTAATACTCATCCCATGAATATGTGCCACGTTTTGGGGCCAAAATGTTTTCTCCATGAGCACAAAGTCCTAGTGTTATGAGGAGGGTCTGGCACATATCTGGGGTTCAATGCTTGCCACCTTCTCCCGTTATCTGTAAGCTGGCTGAAGGCAGGGATCCTGTCTGTGCACATCATTTCTTAGCACAAAACAAATGCTCAATGAACATATGCCTGAATAAAGAGGCCAACGGGACTCCAGGATCTGATTTCTGAGGGACTGGGTCACCCTACAGGCGGAGGTGCAGGTCTATACTGACAGCCTGACTCCCTGAGCCATCTACACGCACAGGCTGAACCAGCAAGAGTACCTCTCATTCTATTAAAATGTCTTTCCCTTCATCTTCTTCCTGCCTCCACCCTGTGTAAAGGTCAACACCGTCAACTATGTCAGAGAAGAGAAACAGCAGGTGGGATACCCAAATAATCAGCTCTGGAACTGGTTTCTACACTTACAGTTAAAAGTACATATGTGTGTTATCACCAAGAATTAACGATGATCCAGAAACATAAATAAACCACACTGTCTTTAACTCAAAAAGTCACACAGTAACATCAGACTGTCCTGATTCCCCGTGTCCTACTGCTTAGCCTCGAGCCTAAAAGTCCCTAAGCACACCGCGACTTTCTGGACTTTCTGGTTCACAGACCAGGAAAGAAGTTAGGCTCAGCCATTAAGGTTTTCACCAGCTGCATTAGGAACCAAAAATAATCAAGGGATACTAAATCCCCCCAAAGCTTTAGGTCAGTTTCCTATGTAACTGTATCTATCCCAAATGCCTTCCAGGTGCCCCTTCCCCTAACGAAAGCAAAGACACCCAGGAATCAATTTTTATCTGTGATGACTCTCATCAGTCTCCAAGGACATCCTGACTCATATGTATTTGGAGGCTGTTAAAAAAGTGATCTGAGGGACACCTGGGTGGCTCAGTTGGTTAAACATCTGCCTTCAGCTCAGGTCATGATCCTGGGGTCCTGGGATTAAGCCCCATATTGGGCTCCCTGATCAGCGGGGAGTCTCCCTCTCCCTCTGCTGCTCCCCCTGCTTCTCCCCCTGCTTATGCTCTCTCTCTCTCTCTCTTTCCCTCTCTCCCTCTGTCCCAAATGAATTTTTTAAAAAATAAAAATAAATAAAAAATTACGTCTGGGAGCCAAATTTTCCACTGGAATACAACTCTGAAATGACAATGAAAGTGAATGGGAAAAGAAAAATAATTTGACATACCTACTATACTTTATAAACAACTTTTAAAAACGCATCCAGTGCATATATTAAAGTTAAGCTACACTCAGCAAAATTATGTCAATAAAAATTTAAAAAGAACTAGCAAAGTGTCTGGCACACGTGAGGTTCCCAACAAAGCCTGGCTGAACAAGGGGCAAAGGAACGAGCTATCAGAACAAGGAACCATGAAAGCCACAAGGGTCAGAACGACACTCATAAGCTGACTCTATGACCAACTCTCAATTTAAACGACCAGTAAGGAACTTATAAAAACACCAACATTCTAATATAGTGAACAAGGCCCATGTCACCATCGTGGGCTCACTCAGGCAGATGTCAAGCTCCCCGTAGGTGGGGAGAGGAGGAAAGCTAGGGTGTCTGCAGAGCAAGTCATGCTAGGTGACTGGGAACGGTTGCAATTCAGGAAGACGCTGGAGGAGCACAACCAGAATTAGGTGGAAGAGCTATTCCCATTTCTTTTTAGTTCAAGGGATGTTAACAAGAATATAAAAGTTCAAGCACCAAACCATTCCATTTGGTCAGGCTACAGACAGAAATTGTGGTGGTTGCTTTTGCACAGAGGACTTGGTCCCCTGGACTCAATGAAGCTCAACAAAGTCCATGCAGAGGCCGTTGCTGCTGGGACCGCCACCCCTGGGATCCCAGGCCAAGCCCTCCAACTCCCTGGGAAACTCCCACCATCTGCCCCGAGTGACCATTCGGGCTCTGAGGACATGGGAGGGGGGTGCAGGACCCAGACAAAAACACGACGAGGCAAAGAGGAGGAAGCATGGGTGGCTGAAGCCAGAGCACCTGCACAGCCTGTCCCCACCAACAGAGGACCAGCACTCCTCCGCAGCACACCCCCACCTCCCACGGGAAGAGATGCCACAGCCACAGTGTCGTTCACCAAAGCTCACGCCTGCCAGCATTTCGGGGTCAAACCACTAACATGTAGATACACTCCAGACAGAGCATGACACTGGAGCGCAGGGTGAATGAGGCATGTGCTCATGGCCAGATGAACTCAGAGTCAGACCTGCTGTGCACAGGCAGATCTGCAGTCACGTGACCGGCTTTTTTACTGAGGTCTCGGTGAGGCGCTCTGGGTCAGGACTGCAGAAAGCCTTCCAATCCATCTTCTCCTTCAGCCGCTACAAGGAATGTCATGTAGGGTTGTGCCCAAGGTCACAAGGCAAGTGGCAGAACCGGGGATAGAACTCAGCAGAGCAGCTCTGGAAGACACACGGCTGCTCTATGGCAGGAGGCGGGCTGGCGCTCTCTGACCGCCTGACCTCTGCGCACACAGAGCAAGTCAGGGTGGCTTTACTCAGGAGCACAGCTGGCACTCAGCTCCTCCTAGCTCACAGCTCCCCTTTTTTTTTTTTTATAGTTTTTCTTTTAAGATTTTATTTATTTATTTATTTGAGAGAGCAAGAATGAGAGAGAGAGAGAGAGCACATGAGAGGGGGGAGAGTCAGAGAGAGAAGCAGACTCCCTGCTGAGCAGGGAGCCTGATGCGGGACTGGATCCCGGGACTCCAGGATCATGACCTGAGCCGAAGGCAGTCACTTAACCAACTGAGCCACCCAGGCGCCCCAGCTCCCCTCTTTCTACCCTGCTCCCTGCAAGTGGAAACCCCAACATGCTCCAGAACCGTGCATCCTCCGACAACTGAGAGGACTTCCGCACGTCGCCGTGCTGCCTTACCCGTGCTGGTGCTGGTGATGCCGTTCACTGTCCCCTCCACGTCGGTCTCGTCCTCAGCGTAGCTCAGGATCAGACTCTGCTGCCGGCTTGTCAGTCTCCTGTGGACCACAGTTGAGTGTTTCCTCCAGGCAGCCCTTTAATGATGGGCTTGGCCAGTTCCCATGTCAGCATGTGGGAAATGTGGGGCCCCTGACCTAGGCAGGGAGACACACCCTGAACCTAAGAGCCAAACCCACAAAGCTTCCATCAAGAAAATGGAAACTGCTATGCTCATCACAGTGAGCACCCCATCACCTATCAAACTGTCAAATCCTTGCTGCTCACCTGAAAATTAGCACAGCATTAAGACAGAAGAAAATCTCCTAAAATACCCTAAGCTGTTTTTAAACAGCTGCCATAAATACTAAACAGTTTACTTAAAAGAGGGTGGGAGGCCTCACAAGTGTCTTATGTAGGAAGTTAACTAACTAAAAGGAGTCACGTTAAGTCAGTCTTCCCCAGAGGGGTGGGACGCCCCAGCACTGTGCTCAGACCTTCCTCCCAGAGGATGCAGATGTCACGTGCCATGATCCAGTTACAGATTTGCCTCTCCCAGCAGACCCCTAGTGCCCTGACAGCAGTAATAACAAAATTGACAACAGCAGCTACAGCCACATGTGCCCCACGTATTACTCAATTTTTGGGCAGCTAATGAGTCCACTTTTTTTTATTGTGCCCACTTTGCAAGGGGGAACTCAGGCAGGACACACCTGGCTAGAGGAAGGAAGTAGCACAAGCCTGTACAAGCCTCCGTGCTCACAGCAGCGGACAGCGGGCCCAGGCCGGGAGGCCAGCACAGGGCCCAGCAGGTAAAAAGCCTTCCACTGGGCCCTGCTGGGTGGGGAAGGTGCGGAGATCGGGCGGACCTCACCATGGCTACATGGGCACGCACTTTGGAACTCTTATCTTGATGTGAATGTAGTGATCTCCATAGCCATAGCTGTTAATCCGGGGGATTCCCTTCCCACTCATCCGAATCTTCTGGTCTGTCTGAATCCCAGGGGGGATCTATAAAGAAAGGAAATCTGTGGTTTGCCTTGGTCTCCAGTTACTCAAATAGAAACATTTCACTACATAAAGACTTACTCCTAGGAAAGAACTGCCATTCAGGTTTCTAGACAACCACATGGAAACTGGCTAACCTGGGGTCCATCCGGAGCAGAGCCTGTGACGGGGACTTGCAAGCAGGCGGTTTGGGGAGATGAGCCCACAAGGAGAAGTGTGGGAGCACAGAGAGTAAGAGCAGGGAGGAGGCAAGGCCCACAGAGGGGCCTGGGGCCTGGTGCCCGTAGAGGAGCAGATTCGACCCAGGAACTGCCTTCCCCGGCGATTCCACAGTCAAGGCCCACAGTCTGTGATTCGAACCCAAGGAATGGCCTGACCTTCCTCCTGCCTCCCCCAGACCTCATCTCTGAGTCCCCGACATGCTACTTGCTCACAGGTTCTGCCACTTCTCAGCTGTTTCAGAAAAAAAGAGAGTGATGAAGTACAAGACTGGCAAAGACATCCCCGCCCTCTTACCGTCACGGTAATGGTCTCGTATAGGCCCTGAGCTCTGGCTGTCCCTCCAAGAAGAGCCTGAGCTATGGAAATAAAGAGGTCGGAGTGGATGTCTGCACCGTCCCTCCGGAACACAGGGCTTTTCTGCACCTAGGGCCAAGCACAAGATGCAGTCATGGGTGGAGAAGTCCTCCCTGAGAAGGACAACAGCCCCACATCCCAGCAGCCTGGGCACAGGCCCTGACATGCATTATGGTGACGCTGCTTCTGTGTGAGGAACAGAGTACTGAGGGAGAGAATGTACTTTCACCAAAGCAGAATGTGGCCCCAGGCTCCAGGAGTTACATCAGATTTGTTTCTACGCTGCAATGCAAGAGTGTCAGTCTCAGATCAAGTCGTTCAACTGACAAATAAAAAGGTAAAATTGGCTTTTTGAACATTACAACAAAAATCTTACTCTAATGGAAGGTTTACACAGACTAGTAACATCTACAAAGGCAAAGAGTTTACTCTCCTAACAGTCATTTGGTACAAACTACCCTCAAGACAGATGGGCAGGGCGCCTGGGTGGCTCAGTCGGTTGAGCGCCTGCCTTTGGCTTGGGTCATGATCCCAGGGTCCTGGGATTGAGTCCCGCATCGGGCTCCCTGCTCAGCGAGGAGTCTGCTCGTCCCTCTCCCTTGCCTGCAGCTCCCCCTGCTTGTGCTCTCTCTCTGAAATGAACAAAAATCTTAAAAAAAAAAAAAAAGATGGGCAGCACGGGAATGACTCTGACTTTATAAGAACTTTTGGGTGTCAAAGACACTCCTTGCCTTGCAGCCATGCCCCCTCTCTGTGTTCTTGTCTATTATCACATGGGAGCGGGGTCTACCTGTTGTAGAGCCTGGCGTCCAGCAGGTCACCTTTGTCTTGCATCTCCTTGTCTAGCAGTTCATCCTTTACAGTATTTTTATCTTTTTTTTAAATTATGAAGTATTTCACACACATATGAACAGGCAAAGTAAATAACATCACACACACACACAAATGCGCACAGCCCAGCTGAGGGACCAACCCTCCCGGCCCCTTCCCCCACCCGAGTGACCACCACGATGAATGGAGGAATGACCGTTCCTACATATACACACGTGTCCCCAAACAATACATATCACCATCTCCATGTGAACCGTTGACCGTGTCCCTCCCTGCCTCTGCTTGCAATCTGCTTTCCTTCCCTCACTGGTAACTGAGAAGTCTCGAGATGTGTCGTGCTGACACGTGTGGCTCCGGTTTCTTCCTCTGGCTGCTCTGAGGCACTCTGGTCCCCGTGTGGTGCACTCGGCCACTCTCTTCTCCCTCTTCTCTGAGGGCAGTAGGCTGTTGTCAGAGTCTCACTGCTACGAGTGAAGGAGTCTCGCACGCAGCCCGCGTGGCCTTCCTCAAGCGTGCACCTGGCAGGGCTGCGGGGACAGGGCGCTATCCCCCTCGCCATCCCCCTGTTCCAGAAAACCAGGTCTGCTCCTGCACATGGTACGTAAAGCTGTACTCGCTATCCCCACAAACAATTCAATACATAAGCTAAAAACACAAGATGTGTTCTGCATTTTTATGTGTGCAATGTTTCCAACCTGTAAACATCTTGAGGAAACTGCTCTGTCCAAACCTAGCACGAAGGTTTGACGTGACGCATGTTTAACCGCCATACCAAGGTGGCCACTGTTGCCCTAAGAAACGCAGATGGCCAGATATGCTCCCATGAAGTGCCAGCCTCTCTCTAGCGAGAAGCCCAGGCTACACCCACACCCAGAAGGAGAGGACTGCAGAGGAGCCATATAGGCAGAGCACCTACCCTGAACGTGATGAAAATTTCCCGTTTTCCTACAGGCATCCGTACAGTCTGGCCATCCTCAACTCCTATAAGGAAGAACAAAAGTTCAAAAGGGAAGAATTACCTTGGGACCTCCCAAGGAATTTTCTGCCCTAGACCCATTTACAAACCACTGACTTCCTTACTCATGCCTATGAAGAGCAACACAATTACCCACAGTACAACCAACGAGTGTAACTTTTCAAGGGTGCAAATACAGCAATTGATAAGCAAACAAGAGCACCTTCTATTCATTTATCCAAGTGTACTGGACCTCTGCTCCTACCAGTCTGCATAGTATTTCAGTGAGTTCAGAGTCTAGTAGGGGAGACAGCTATCGACCAAAGAGTTAACACTAACAAACGCATCATTACAAAGAGGGTCATGTTCTTCGAAGGAAAAGACAAAGGACACGTAAGGAACAGGGAGAGTTCCAGAAGGCTGCCCCGGGGAAGTGACACTCGCGCTAGGAGCTTGGGGAGAAGAGTTAGCCTGCTGAAAAGAAGATGGAAAGTGAGCTTGAGACACAGGGAGTGGTATACGCTGCTCTGTCCTGGAAGGCAGCCTGTTCAAGGAGCTACGTGAAAGTCAGGAAGGCCGCAGGGTAGGCAACCAGGGGAGACTAACAAGACGGGAGGCTGCAGAGGCCAGTAGGGGCTGAGACTGGAGGCATTACTCACCCCAACAGTCACAGCATGCTCTGCAGGGCGAGTGACATGATCACCCTGCAGGGGAAAGCCCGCCCCAGGAGAAAGAGCCAGTTGGGGAAAGCAGTCACAGGCTGCCCCTGGGGGCCAGGAGGGAGGAGTGGTGGTGCAGACTGGGCTGGCAGCGGGGACCATGCTGGTCTCATTGATGGAAGGTGGAGGAGCCCCACAGGAGCACAGCAGACATGTCAGGTCCCTTCTGCCCAATGTGGCATGCAAGGGTAGCCCGTAGCATAACTAGTGCAAAGATGAAAATTCAAGGAGATTCTAGTCCGCCCCTCCAGTCCAGGGCTCTAGGCCCTTAACCACAGCTTCTCCAACAGCCCAATCACAAGGAAACAAAGGCCTCAGCTCTCCCAGCCCCTAGTGCATGGAGGTGCCCAGGACCAACCGGCAGGGACGGGGATCACCACTTTCTTCTTCTGCTTGGCTTGTCCTGCTCCTCTGCATACCACGCAGGGAGTCGTGATGATGGAGCCTCGGCCCCCACATCTCCGACACGTGGAGCGCATCACAAAAGGGCCTGTATTTATGGTTTCCTAATAAAGAGAAGAAAAATGGAACCTTAAGCACACAGGTTAACGCTAACGACCAAGCCTCTGGGGACACAACATACATCAGAGAAATGTCTCACTGAAGACTCATGTTCTGTGTGAACACACACTAAAACACACCACCTCAGAGCACAGGGGCAGGGGCTCACACTGTCAATCTGATCTTCTAGAACATGCTAACTTCTCAATGCCAAATCACCAAGCTGATTATATGAGCTCGGAAAATGAGACAGTGCCTCTCTGTAGAGGTTCCTGAAATCCCTGGGGAGGTGAACAAATACATCTTAAAAAGAGCACTGCCCCTGGGCGCCTGGGTCACTCAGTGGGTTAAGCGTCTGCCTTTGGCTCAGGTCATGATCCCAGGGTCCCGGCTCCGCGGGGAGTCTGCTTCTCTCTCCCCCTGCTCTTGCGCTCTCTCTCTCCCTCTCAAATAAATAAAAATCTTTTTTTTTTTTAAGATTTCTTAAAATTTATTTGACAGAGAGAGAGAGAGAGAGACAGCGAGAGAGGGAACACAAATAGGGGGAGTGAGAGAGGGAGAAGCAGGCCTCCCACCAAGCAGAGAACCTGATGTGGGGCTTGATCCCAGTACCCTGGGATCATGACCTGAGCCGAAGGCAGACGCTTAACGACTGAGCCACCCAGTCGCCCCCAATTAAATAAAAATCTTAAAAAAAAAAAAAAACAAAACTTATGTTTCAAAGCTACAGTAAAAAACCTCTACACATAAACCCTTCTGTTCTGATGCTTCTACTCTGTAAGACAGAACCCCAAAGGTGGAATTGCTGGGACAAATAATTATTATATTTAAAAATTTATGTGTCAGAGACTCTGGACTCTGGGAAACAAACTGAGGGGTACAGAAGGGACGGGGGTGGGGGAATGGGGTAGCCGGGTGATGGGTATTAAGGAGGGCACGTGATGTGAAGAGCACTGGGTGTTATATGCAACTAATGAACTGTTGAACACTCCCATCAAAAACCAGTGATATACTATATGTTGGCTAACTGAACATAATAAAAAAAATTTAAGTGTTACATTTACTTGCACATGGTACAAAATTCTAAAGTAAAAGGAGGTAGAGTGAACAGTTAAGTGCCCCCCCACCCCCATTTCCTAGTTGTTCCAGGTGCCCTCCTCAGAGGCACAGCCACGGTGATATGCTTGTGTATCCTACTTTATCTGGACACACGCACTTTGAGCCATCTATGTGCGCATTACAGGTTTTCAGTCACCCAAGGCGGCACTATGCACATGGTGCTGCAGCGTTTCTTTGGGTTTTTACAATTAAATGATCTCAGAAAGCACTTCTCACCAGCATACAGCATCCTGTGACCTGGATGCACCACGATTTCTCAGGCCACTCACTCCTGGTGGTCACTGGGGCTTCAGTATTATACACAAGGCTGCAGGGGACACCCTGTACAAAGGCTGCATCCCAAGTGTGGTCTGTAGGGTAGCTCCCCACAGAGATGCACACACAAGGGTCTGACGGCTCCTGCAGTTGCCATTCCCATAAACCAGAGTGCCGTCAGGGAGTGTGCACACTCATGTCCCACAGGCTTGTTGGCACGGACTGTGACCATCTTTGAAACGCCTGCCCCTCTGGAGGGTGAGCCAAGGGCATCTGGTTTCCACCTGCAGGCTGCTGAGAGATGTTCACCACCCACCCACATTTCCTCTACGGTTCACCTCGCCCAGTTTTCCCGATGAGCTGCTGGCCTTTCCCCCGTTATTCTGAGGGAGCTCTTTACATATTAGGAACACTAATCCTTTAGCAAACATGTTACAAATATTTTTTCCTAGTCTTAAACATCATGTTTTTAGAGAAATACACTTCGGCTTTACTACCTTATCTCAATCTCTTCAGAAAAAAAAATTTTTTTAAAAGAAGTTACATCAATTCAGGGCATTGGGGAAAGGACTTTTGAAGTGAGAGGGAATTGGGAACAATCAATGAAAACTATCTGTAACAAGTGGCATCAACTCAGCTCCCAAAACTGTAGCCACGGGAATGCACGTGCTCCCCAGGAGCGCCCTCTGGAGGACTGTCCGCTCAACTGCACACTGAGCAGCAAGCTGGTCCTTTTCTCAACAGGACCAGGTATAACTTTGGGTATACCCATCAATGGACTCTTATCTGGCCATCAAAAACAGTATTTAGAAATACTCAAAGACATGGAAAAATACAACACGTGAAAAGTGTGGGAAAACTGCATGTATGATCCTCAACTGTTGAAAATTACACACATACAAGCAAGATCATTCAAAATGATATGACAAACTAGAAAATATACAATTCAAATCATTGACAAAGGACTAATTTACTTAATTTATGATTTTTATTTCTTTATTTATTTGAGAGAGAGAGAATGGGAGATAGAGAGCATGAGAGGGAAGAGGGTCAGAGGGAGAAGCAGACTCCCTGCCGAGCAGGGAGCCCGATGTGAGACTCGATCCCGGGACTCCAGGATCATGACCTGAGCTGAAGGCAGTCGCTTAACCAACTGAGCCACCCAGGCGCCCCTAATTTACTTAATTTAGAAAGAGCTTCTACAAATGCTGGGGCGCCTAGGTGGCTCAGTCCATTAAGTGTCTGCCTTCAGCTCAGGTTATGATCCCAGCATTCTGGGATTGAGCCCCACATCGGGCTCTCTGCTTGGCGGAAGGCCTGCTTCTCCCTCTCCCACTCCCCTGCTTGTGTTCCCTCTCTCACTGTCTCTCTCTCTCTCTGTCAAATAAATAAATAAAATCTTTAAAACAAAACAAAACAAAAAAAAGCTTCTACAAATGCCTCAGAATAAGACCAATTACCCAACAGCGAGAAGGAAAAAAGGCTGAAGAGATATAAAGGAAAACTGGTCCTCAAATTCTCAAGATGTTCAACCTCACACATGACAGATGCAAAATGAGCATGAGAAATGGCGTTATGTGAAGGTACTCAGTGTCTGTACCAGCACAAGATCAACAGGGGCCTGGCTAGGTAAGGGATGGCGCATCTGTGAAGGAACCGCTGTGGCCATGCAAACTGGGGCAGCTATGTAGAGTGTTTGCCAAATACACTAAGTAGAAACAAAATAAAATACTGAGGTACAAACAGAGCTAACTGTATTATACTGTTCGTATAAAAAACCATGCATGCACGTACACGCATCTAAGACAACGGGATGCTTCTGAGGAGTGGAAACACAATGGCTGAGAGCCGACAATGGGAGGGACACTTATTTTACACTATTTACAATTTGTACCCACTAACTTTTTATTTTTTTAAAGATTTTATTTATTTATTTGACAGAGACACAGCAAGAGAGGGAACACAAGCAGGGAGAGGGTCAGAGGGAGAAGCAGGCTTCCCACTGAGCAGGGAGCCCGATGTGGGGCTCGATCCCAGGACCCTGGGATCATGATCTGAGTCGAAGGCAGACGCTTAACGACTGAGCCACCCAGGCACTAACTTTTTAATGATTTGCATATATTACCTATTAGAAAACTAATTTAAAACAAAAATGAAGTTCCATTTTTTTGAATTTTTTTAAAAAGATTTTATTTATTTGAGAGAGAGAGCGAGCATGAGTGGTGGGGAGGGGCAGAGAAGGAGAAGCAGGCTCTCCATCGAGCAGGGAGCCTGATGTGGGGCTCAATCCCAGGACCCTGGGATCATGACCTGAGCTGAAGGCAGATGCTTAACCAACTGAGCCACACAGGCACCCCTAAGATTTACTTATTTTAGAGAGAGAGAGTGCTTGTGTGTTGCATGTGCGAGTAGGGGGAGGGGCAGAGGGATAGAGAATCTCAAGCAGACTCCCAGCTGAGCACAGAGCCCAACATGGGACTCAATCGCTCGACCCTGAGCCTATGACCTGCGCCAAAATCAAGAGTCAGACACCCAGTCAACTGAGCCACCCAGGTGTCCCCAAAAATGAAGTTCCTAATCAACAACTGGACAGGGGCGCCTGAGTGGCTCAGTCGGTTAAGCATCTGCCTTCGGCTCAGGTCATGATCCCAGGGTCCTGGGATCGAGCCCCACATCGGGCTCCTGGATCGGCGGGAAGCCTGCTTCTACCTCTCTCCCTGCTCCTGCTCTCTCTCTGTATCTCTGTGTCTCAAATGAATAAATAAAATCTTAAAAAAAAAAACAAAACAACTGGACAAAAACAAACTTAAAATGCTAGAGTGGTGGGATTATCAGGGACTTCTACTTTTTAAGAACTTTTCTGCTCTCAAAGACAACTTCTACCTCATACCAGCATACACACACAATGACTAATTTTAAAGGTGGGTAGTAGAGAACTTCTCAAACAGGAATCCATCTTTTTTTTTTTTTAAAGATTTATTTATTTGAGAGAGCGAGAATGAGAGAGAGAGAGTACATGAGATGGGGGGAGGGTCAGAGGGAGAAGCAGGCTCCTCGCTGAGTGGGGAGCCTGATGCGCGACTCGATCCCGGGATGCCAGGATCATGACCTGAGCCGAACGCAGTCGCTTAACCAACTGAGCCACCCAGGCGCCCAGGAATCCATCTTAATGGAATATAAACATAATCAATGAAAACCTAACTACAATTAAATAGACAGAGATATAACCATAGTGAAAGGGGAGAAAAAGAATTGACCCAAATAACTTTTGAGCACAGTATTTTAACTATACACCTTCAAACAAAAGATGAAAAGAACTCTAAACAGCAAATGCCAGTAACTAGGATATTTTTCACAGTATTCTGAGTAACAATCCTGAAACTCCTTTTTGTGTTATAGAGTTGAGCAAACGAGTAAATATATTAAGGATAATCAAAGCCAGACTTCTCTTTATCAGAAAAAAGTTTCATAGGGCGCCTGGGTGGCTCAGTTGGTTAAGCGACTGCCTTCGACTCAGGTCATGATCCTGGAGTCCCGGGATCGAGTCCCGCATCGCACTCCCTGCTCAGCGGGGAGTCTGCTTCTCCCTCCAACCCTCCCCCCTTTCATGTACTCTCTCTCTCTCTCTCATTCTCGCTCTCTCAAATAAATAAAAATCTTAAAAAAAAGAAAAAAGTTTCATATACAGACAGGCAGAAGACTAGATGAACCTTGTGGTAATGGGCTAGAAGTGGAACTATCACGTTGAACTCACTGGTTTGTCAGAGCAATAGTGGGTGGAGGGATAGGTGTGTATGTGTGCGTGTACATGTGTACCTATAATGTGAATAATATGGAAGGAGATACAGATATGGGTATGTACATGCATGTTTGCACACACGCACTCACATATGCTTTTTTTCCCCAGCCTAGTCTGCAGGAGGGCGTAGAAGCAGCAAACCTCCAGACACAATGAGCACACCCAGAGCACAGGTCTTGGTTTCTAAATCCCAGGAGACACTAGAAGCAACCAGGACCCCCTGGAGAAATGACTGGCTCAAGGGTATGGCAGGAAAAGCACAAGCTGAGTCTAGAACATCCTACTGTGATTGATAGGAAGTGCTCAAAGAATGAGGGGGACCTGTCAAAGGATACATGAGCCAGCTAGAAGGGACTCTACAGGCCAAGTCAAGAACAATTTGAATATCGAAGACAGTAATTATACCGATTACAGCCCAGTGAATAAAATAAGAATGCCTGAGTTCATACTGCTATAAAAGAATACACCAATGGAGACTAGAAGTTCTTCCTTTCAGAAGAATGCCAACTAAGACACGCAGAGGGATGCTGGGATCAGAAAATCACCATCTTGCGACTGTTCCAGTAATAACTAATTAGCAAGAATGATCAATGGACACCACAACTATTGGATGAAAGTTTGATGAGGAACCGGATATTTATAGAGTGTTAGGGTGCCTCACCACAACTTCCTCATTAATTACAAAGGGAAAATTAATAACTTTACAGTGAAGGAAGCTGGTGGACACTACCTTAACTAACTACTAGTGATCAAATGTCACATCACCACTAATGGGACAAACGGACACCTTATGACTCCTGACATGATCCACTGGAAAGGGATGTGGTGTTTCGCCAAAAACACATAATCTGAATCTTATCATGAGAAAATATCTGATGAGTTCCAAATAAAGGGCATTCTGCAAAACAGCTGGCCTGTAATCCTAAAAAATGTCAAGGTCATAAAGAAAAAGAAAAGCTGAGGAACTATTTGATATTAAAGGAAACAAAAGATATGACAACCAAATACTACACAAATCCTAGCTTGGATCCTGGACCAGGGAAAAGAGGACACCATAAGGACAATTGAAAAAATGTGAGTGCTCGCCTCAGCAACACATATACTGAAACTGGAACGATACAGAGGAGATTAGCATGGCCTCCGCACAAGGATGACATGCAAATTCGTGGAGCGTTCCATATTAAAAAAAAGAAAAAAAAGAAAGAAGAAGAAGAAAAAAGGTGAATAAGTATAGATAACGGTATTGTATCAACATTAAATTTCCTCATTTTGACAACTGCACTAGGGTTATGTAAAAGAACGTTCTTATTCTTTGAAAATACATAACACAGATAACAAAGCAAATGGGACAGAATGCTGACAACTGGTGATCTGGCTAAGGAATAACGGAGTGACCCTTTATACTGTTCTATAAATTTGTATTATATAAAAAATTTATCCGGATGCCTGGGTGGCTCAGTTGGTTGGGTGTCTGCCTTTGGCTCAGTCATGATCCCAGGGTCTGGGATTGAGCCCCATGTTGGGCTCCCTGCTCAGCGGGGAACCTGCTTCTCCCTCTCTCTCTGCCTGCCGCTGCCCCTGTTTGTGCTCTGTCAAATAAATAAAATCTTGAAAAAAAAAAAGAAAAAATGATGACGCTTCAAGCAAAATTTAAACCTCCCTCCCTCCACCATGGTTTCAAATTACCAAAATTTCCCAAAGTGTATTTTCAGAGAGGATAGTGCAGTATCACTGACCAAAACAGAGCACTCAGGAAAAAAGAAGGTTACAGATAAAACAGTCCCAGCAAGTTATAGCCTCTCAAAGCACTAAGTACTGCCGGGTAACCAGTCCTGAGAGCACAGAAAGCAGGGTAGTGAGGAATAGAGTGGGCAGGCCAGAGGTGGGAGGCCCCGAGGGAAGGGGTGGGGATGGGGGCTCTTACCATTCCAGAGCCACCACAGTAGTGGCAGTTCTGCAGCTTGGTGCCGGGCTCGTTCCCCTTGCCGTCACACCGCTCACAGGTGTCAGTGATGTTCACGGTGAACTCCTTGTTGACCCCCTTGGCCGCTTGATTAAACGTCAACTCCATGATGTACTAAAGAAATCAGAGGACAGCCTGATATCTTTCTTTTGATAATTACCAACATGATCCTCCACTTTAAAAAGTAAAGGAGGACAATGGTCAGCAGTTCCCAGTTCTTTTAATTTTTCTTTTAAAGTAGTTTTATATTTACAAAATTGAGGAGGAGGTAGAGAGGTCACCCACACACCCCACACCCGCCCCACACATGTACAGCCTCTCCCATCATCAGCATCACTCACCGGAATGTACATTTTTTTTTAAATAAAGGATGAACCTATATGGACACATCATAATCATCCAAAGCCCATAGTTTACATTATGGTCCACCCTTGGTGGTGTACATCCTATGGGTCTGAACAAATGTCCACTGTTATAAAATCATAGGGTACTTCCACTAAATGTGAATTTCACTAAAAACTCCTCTGTGCTCCACCTACTCATCTCTTCACCCAGCTACTCTACTTTTTAACTATTTTACTTACCTATCCTCGGCCTAATAAGAATGGATGGGACTCAAGTGATTCTGCCGTACTCAGGATTTTTAAAAGGGAATGTTTGTTTTTGTTTTCAGTGAAAATGTACTTTTCAACAAACTGTTCACAGATAATATTTGGACGTAGTCCTTAAAGACAGCTGGAAAGATCCACAATCATAACTTAAGTCATAAAACATCCCCCCTCTCTCTTCAACTCCGATCATGTCTTATTAAGACATAAATATGCCGAGTGTCTCCCTACTGGATTGAGCTCTCCTAGAATAACGTAGCAGGCCTTCAAGATAAAATACTTACACCCTGAGAGCCTTAGCCTTAGGCTGCCTGATTAAGCAGCTGCAAGAATATAGTTAAAATGAATGTACACATATTACCTACATGATTTTACTTAAACATTAGAATGATTTCCTACCAAAATGGCAGCTTCCAGATCATTCAACTGAGCTGCTATGCCTTTCTTTTTTTTTTTTGAGAAAAAGAAACTGATAAAATCTGTTTGCCTCACATTGAACAGCTAAAATGTGAATGATTCTTCGAAACAAGGAGCTTACCTCCTGAGGCTGATTGAATACATTCTGGAAATCTCCAAAAGAAGATGATGAGAACTCCCCAAAGATCTTCCTGAAGAGCTCCTCTGGGTCGACAGTGGGGCCTGCCTTCCAGTAGCTCTGTCCGGAGCTGCCGGCCCCAGGATCGAAGCCAGCAGAGCCGTACGCATCATACTGCTTCCTCTTCACTTCGTCACTCAGCACCTACCAGGAAGGCCCAGCAGTCAGGTCCGCCCGAGTCTCCCAATGCCCAGAACACAGACACAAGAGCACGCCAAGTACAGGTAAGGGGATCGTAGCAACATTAAATTTCTTGGTTTTGACAAATGTACTGTGGTCATGCAAAAGAATGTTCTTGTTCTTAGAAAACACACACTGGGGGACTGAAGAATAAAGAGAGAGGTCTGTGACTTACTCCCAAATGGCTGGTGGCACGCGCACACACAAAGAGCAGATATGTGATACTCTATGTATCCTGAACCCCCCAGATGCTCTAAGTCTGGGGAGAAGGTCACTCTGGAATGGCTCAGCAGTCATCCACAAGTACGTGTTTCATCCCTCTGATTATATTTCAAATTCCTCAAGGGCAGCCTTCTACTTTTACAATCCCCACCAGCCCCAGGAGACAGCGATGCCCTAAGGAAGGGGGTCATTAAATAAGTGTGGGATTAATTAATCCAACCAGGAGCTCCTAGACCCAACTATAAATCCAAATGACCTGGGAACTCTGTTAATACAGATGATTAGATCCTGTTTTCTCCTGAGATGCCAAGTGGGATCTAGCAGGAGACCAGGGAATCTTTTCTTCACTGAGGTAATCTGGCATAGGGAACACAGCCTTAACACGGGACCTCATGACATGTCAGGCCACCCTGTGCCACACACTCGGATGTACGCAAGCAGCTGAATGATGGCAGCTGCACACACAGGTAGGTCGTGTTACCTCATAGGCTTCTGCCAGCTGGGAGAACTTCTCCTTGGCTTTGGGATCATCCTTATTTGTGTCTGGGTGATATTTCTTGGCCAGCTAAGGGAAGAAATGGTAAATTACTATGGACACAAGATGATGACTAACAGTGGACCCCAAATGACAGTCACAATCTCACCTCCTTTATAGCAGTTGTTTAAGTTTTGTGACCAACAGAAATACTTAGAACAAGGTTTAAGACTTTAAAATAGGGGCGCCTGGGTGGCTCAGTTGTTAAGCGTCTGCCTTCGGCTCAGGTCATGATCCCAGGGTCCTGAGATCGAGCCCTGCATTGGGCTTCCTGCCCCACGGGAAGCCTGCTTCTCCCTCTCCCTCTCCCACTCCCCCTGCTTGTGTTCCCTCTCTCACTGTGTCTCTCTCTGTCAAATAAATAAATAAAATCTTAAAAAAAAAAAAGACTTTAAAATAAACCTGTCTCTTCAAATCTGAGGCATATACACACTTTCCAACCACAACAAACGTCTATCAAAAATAACAACTGATCCTTTAGAACTTGGGCACCTTTACGAAAGCAGTGTAAAACAGTGTGTCTGCCGGACTACCATCTATGTAGAAAGAGAAGACACTATCTACCAGCTGTATAAACTATTCTGAAAGAACACACAATAAACTGGTAGCACTGATTGCAACAGGAGGGATGCTGATAAACGGGAAGGAGGCTTTCCACTGTATACTCCTTTGTACCTTTCAAATTCTGAATAAAGGAAATATACCGCCTATTCAAAACACAGGTTTAAAATATTAAAAAGGGCGCCTGGGTGGCTCAGTTGGGTAAGCGACTGCCTTCGGCTCA